GGGGTTAGTTCGCGTATACTCTAGGCTTGAGGTGTCCCCATAAAAAAAAATCGCATATGGATAAATCTGGGGACCGAGGAGGCCAATGAACATCGCCAAACCTGGAAATAAGGCGACCACTGAAGAGAGGACGAATAACGTCCATGGATGCTCGGGCTGTGTGGGCGGTCGCCCCATCCTGCTGGAACCACACACGTCGGATTGAAACACGTCACCGTCGTAATTCAGGGAGAAAGAAGTTGGTGATCATGTCGACGTAGCGCTCTGAGTTCACGGTAACATCACGACCATTACCGTCTTCGAAGAAGTAAGGGAAAATGATGCAAGTTTGCGATACAGCGCACCAAACCGTTACTTTTGGGCTGTGCAGCGGTCTTTCGTGTAACTGTTGCGGATTTTCATTCGCCTAATAACGACAATTTTTCTGGTTAACCATGCTGTTTACGTGAAAGTGGGCTTCGTCACTCATAAACAAAATGAGGTTCTCATTTTGATCGATCAGTGCTTCCATCTCGCGTGCGAAGTTTATTCGTTGTGCATAATCTCCGGGCTGTAACGGTTGCACAATGGCCCATTTGTAGGGGTGAAAGCGGAGATCCATATGCAAAATTCGCCTTACCGAACGATCACTAAGGCGAAGTGCAGCAGCATGTTTCCGGGCAGATCGAGTCGGACTGCGAAGAAAGACCTGTCGAACGTGTTCAAAATTTTCAGGAGTTCGAACTGTTCGCGGCGCTCCTCTTGGTCTTCTGTTGATCAGTTCACCATGCCTGCGAAGTGATTCAACCCAACGAAGGATGGTGTTTCGAGAGGGAACAGCTCTATTCCGATGAATGTTGAGGTGGCGACGAAACTCACGCTGTACGTCGATGACTGACTCATTATTTCGGGCGAAACAATCATAGGCGAAAACGCGGTGGTCCAGCGTCCAAGGCTACATAACGACAACTGGTAAAATAGTGCTATACTCTAGGTGCTGAAGAAAGAAACTAAACCCAAACAAATACACGCATATTGCTCGTGAGTGAGTGTTTAGGCGCAGGAGACATTACAGGACCGCATCAAGATATTATGGGTAGTCATCAAAAATTTCATACAAGATAATTATTATCTTTTACAGTAAATTTCAGTTAGAGATTCACAAATGAGTTAACTACACTTTTTAGTTATTAGTAAGTAAGCTGCGCGCACTCATTCAGAAGAGGAACTTGAATCTTCTGAATCGTTTAAATGAATTATTAGAGGTTCAATTTGGGTATCGATGACATTGTCCAAATCCCACATTTTGACCTCAACCTTCTCCCGAACGTGGCGGATACAGTTTTTCCATTCCTCTGCCGTAACTCTATTGACTGCGATGTGAAAGAGATTTTTAACATCAGAAAATTTATAAGTATTATTATTCGACGCCACGTATTGCTTTATGTTGGCCCAAATCAGCTCAATAGGGTTCAGCTCACAATGGTAGGGTGGCAGTCTCAAGACAGTTTTATTTTGTTTTTTGGCCATTTCGTCGATCATTTTAAAATCGTATTTGTATTTATGTCTATTGACTATACTTATCAATTCACCCTTGACCATTGTTTCATCAAAATCGATCTGTTTTGAGGCCAGCCATTGTTGTATGTTTGCTTTTTTAGTTGCCATTGTGGGAATTTTTTCTATTTTTCTAGAATGGTACGGGGCATTATCCAGTACAATAACAGCGTTATTCTCCAGCTTTAGTAAAATTTTGGAGAACCAATTTTCAAAGGAATTGCCGTCCATCTCCTCATGATAGTCCCCTGTCTTTTTTGATTCAAAGACCCACAGTGCTTCGGGAACAAAGCCGTCTTCACTACCGACGTGACAAATGATCAGCCGTTTGCCTTTTCCTGGAAATAAATTATTCCTTACACTATGGATTGATTAAATTTGAAGGAATGAGGCAATTGAGTTCATTTAGCTGAATTTAAGAGTCACGGAATGCTGATCAAAAACTGAAAAACGTAGAAAATTGAAGTTTGCAACTTCTCAAAACCCAAAAATGATAATAAATTTCAAAATAACGCTTAAAAGAGGGTCGAAGTTTTTTTCCTAATGACTACACTGTGAATGCACCATTTTTGGAGAATATCACACATTATCTGCTATCACAGCATATTATTTGCCCGAATTTATCAAAATTAAATTGCCGGATAGATGAAGGAGCTTACCTGCAGGATTTTTCAATCCAGCCGAAAGACCGTCTAGAAAAGTCTGCCTTGATGATGTTACTGATTTGTCGACCCAAACTTTCGCTTGAGTATGTCCAGCATTCACCCACGTTTCGTCCAAATAGTAAATTTTTCTTTTTTCATCGCGAAACTTCCGAATCTTCCTAAGGTATTCCCTTCTCCACACAACAATTTCTTCTTTCTCTATTAACATACTGTTTCTTCCCCGTTTCAAGAATCGAAAATTAAGTTCCTTCAAAAGTTTTCGGAATGTGGTTCTTTTAAATGATGGAAGATCCTCATCAGCATTAACTAATCTTAATATCTTATCTACTGTAGGTATCTCATTTCGGAAGAAAAAATTATGCACTTTCCTCCTGATGGCAGTTCTGTCAAAGTCATCTACTCCGTCCGTTATCCTTTTTCTTGCAGGATACGGTTTTGGCTCAGAAAGTGAGTGAGTGCTCCTATATTCCTTAATGATCCTATAAACACTGGACCGACATACTCCAGAAATATGTGCTACCTTACATATAACTTCGTCCACGACCAAATCGGGTTTTTCTTGAATTTGGTTTTTGTATATATTTAATATTATTTGTTTTTCATTTGCACTTAAATGTAGCTTCTTAGCCCTTTTTTTGGGTGGGGTTGCGCTGATGTCAACCACTTCGTCGGCTGTATCTGTGTCAGACATCGTATCTTAGGCAATATATAAACAAAACGTTCCACTCGCGAAAAACGAGTATACGCTACTGAATGCGTAATGCGTATGCAATGCAATCCTGTGCGTGAATTAACTGTTAGATGCATGTCGTGTCATCTACAATCACGTTTACAAGTCCAAACCTGTGCAGATTCGTAGAGCGCCGACGACTGCTAGTGACCTTGAATTTGTCTGTAGATCGATGTTACTCCAGTCAATTTAGGTTCAAAGTGGATGTTTTCTAAACCAATTTGTTGTTCCTACATCAAAAATATATCGATGATGTTTTGTACTGGGAGCTCATGAAAGATCAAGGTAACTTATTTTAACAGTCATCCTTTTTCTAGTCTCAAGATGACACGAAAAAGGGTCTGTGGATTCACTAGAAATACACTGCCGAGGATGTTTAGACCTAAAGTGACTGGAGTATATCCGTGGATGCTTTCGAGGGATCTGTTCACGTGCTGATCACTGTTTACGTTTAATGTCTTTCTTCAGCGGCCAGAGTTTAGGATCTCACGAGTCAAACGGCACCCTCCCCACCTCTCTCGTAGACGGAGAGTACTACCCGTCCCAAAAACGTCCGTCCTCTCTGCCGCACCCTGTATATAATTAATACATACACCATAGTCCCTATCCATGCGATAACGCTAACGCTAGTTTGGTCCCAGCCCTAAGTAATCGACCATTTGGCAGCGCTGCTGTACCACACCTTAAACATGTCATAAGCACCAGTTACGGTACTATAACATCCCTGCCGGCGATGTTGTTAGATCCATTTCAGGGTTCGTTGTATGTAAGTCGCTGTTGCACCACATCGCCCAAACGACCTATAAATCTTTCTCCAAGATATAAGGGCAAATCTAAGGTAACATTTATTTATTTGGAAATACGTACTGACAGGTGGGCTTGAAAGCATATAGATATACAAAAAATGAGATAAATCGGCCCCTACTCCCTACAACCTCCAACCGAAGATTTTCAGCCCCTACAATTTTTTTCTAAAATTGATCAAAAGCCCCTAAAACGCCAAAAAAAGGAAGCTTGAGCCATTATTATTTTTTTTCGCGTTACTCCTACTAGCTCCGTCGCCATCGATCTTCAAGAGCTACAAATCTATTGCGTATAAATACAGTTATTATGAATTTTCAGAAAAACCGTTTTTGTGTATTCAAACCCACCTTGAAAATCGTTTTCAAAAAGATTGTCTAAATCAACAGTATCCTACCACACCAAAAATTTATTCTGGTATACCGCAAGGGTCTGTCTTACGACTCCTGTTATTTTCATTATATATCTTAGAGTTAGAAGCAGGTAAAATTACGCAGCATGCAATTTTCTGTCTACGATGTGCAGATTCTCTATTCATTTAGAAGTAATGTCTTGGAAACAGCGGATAATAACATCAATCACGATCTTGCCCAAATTAAAAAGCTTAGTAGTAGTCATAGTCTCCGTTTGAACCCCTCAAAGACAAGTATGTTATAGAGTTGAGTATACTCAAACAAAATAAAATGGAATGCTTTAAACAATGACATGAACATAAACTTATAAGGTAACAAAGTAGTTTCTATGGTAATTTCTAAGAACCTAGGTATTCTAACGGTTGACGATTTAAAATTTGTTGAACATGTACGCCATCTAATTTCGCATTTCGTGATATGCTATTTTATCTGCAAATAAGACTATATTACATAAATCTGAGAGAATTCAATTGTGTGAATCGTTCTTGATTTCAAAAATATCGTATTGCTTAGTGGTTTACTATCCATATTTAGATTATAACCAAAAATCGTGTTCAAAGTATTATGAATACAGATTGTCTGCTTGTAAATTATCTCAAAAAATATGATGATATATCGAAGATGACCTCAACGATACAACTGGATGAAAATTGATTGAATGTGCATATAAATATCAGCTCCTAAGTCTGACTCATAGGGTTCTTTATTCAAAAACATCGTCATATTTAGTAACCAAATTCATACCTAGAAAACATATGCATGGCATTAATATTAGATATATAGATACTTCTTCAATCTCAAGCCATAGTTTTGCATATGGAAATAAAACAACACGGCAGGTAGTTTTAAATGACTTTATTGTTTTTCGAAGTATTTTCCACGAAGATTAATACACATCTGCATGCGCTCGAACCAATTTTCGAAGCACTTATTCCACTCGTTTGCTGGCAGATCCAAAACGGCATTTTTGAAATGCGTCAGCTGCTTCTTCTGGTGACTGGAACCTTTGACCACGCAGTCTGTTTTTGATTTCCGGGTAAGGAAAGAAATCGTTAGGACTTAGATCGGGACTATATGGAGGATGGTCCAATAATTCCACGTTTTCTTCCGTTAAATACTGCCTTGCTTTTTGGGCTGTGAGCGAGCTTGCATTGTCTTGGTGGAGGGTGATTCTTCTTTCGGGGTTGATTTTTCCAAGCTCGGTGATGACTTTTTGCAAACTAATGGTGGTATACCAATCCGCAGTAACAGTTCTTTGCTCATTAAGAGGAATTGTTGCAATACGACCCGCTTTTGACAGAAATATCGCGACCAACTTTTTCGAAACACTTCGAGAACGGATGACTTTTGTTGGCTTTTCTTCACCTTGGAACACCCAAACAGCCGACTGTCGTTTATTTTCTGGTTCATAACAGTAAATTCACGATTCATCACCACTAACAATGCTGTACACATTTTTTGAGTTTCCGGAATTGAAACGACCAAGCGTTTCTTGACACTAATTAACCCCGGCTGCTTTCTGCTCCTCAGTCAACAGGTGGGGTATCCAACGAGAAACTAATTTTCTTACTCCTAATTCTTCATGTAAATTTTTTTGAATTGAGGTCTTTGAGATCTTCAAGGACGTCTCAATCTTGCGATGTGTCACATGTCTATCTTCAATGTTGAGTTTGCGCACAGCATCGACGTTTTCCTGGGTGACTGCCGTTTTTGGTGCACCCATCCTGGAATCGTCGCTAAGACTCACCCGTCCACGTTTGAGTTCTCCATACCAACGGGAAATTGTCGACTGATGTGGCGGTTCGTTGCCGAAAACAGACAGTAACTCAGCAAGGCATTCTTGTTGCGATAATTGCTTTTGAAAGTTGTAGTGAATAATGGCGCGAAAATTTTCTCGGTTGAGTTCCATTTTTCTAATGACTTTGTGACACTTAAAAATTCACTGTAGTGAGAACACTGCACGTATTGTTGTGAAACTTTGAATTTAATTTTACTAAACAGTGAGGTTAAGATTCAGTACTGACGTTCGGTCTGCTCGGCCTACTATGTTTCTATATGCAAAACTTAAAAGATATCCCTCGTACATCTCTATTACAGAACATGTAATATGTGTAATTTCTTAGACGAAACCAATCCATCACTCAAATTCAAAAAGAAATTGAAAGAAATTCTACTTAGCACCGAAAGGCTTTGTAACCAATAAATGTTAACTTACCTTATGTTTTCTTTATGCCTTTACATTAATTATGCCTTATAATTGTTGGTATTGTATACAAGTATTAATTTTTGACAAATTTTTAAATTTTTAGACATCTCCTATTGTCAAGGGAGTTAGGTGGTAGAATAACACATCGAGTAAACAACAGCTAAACAGCCAAGTTGATATCTTATAGGAAAACCTACATGATGTTATGAAAAACCAACACACCCCTGTCGTGTTCCCTCAAAGAAATTACTAATTCAAATGTCTCTTTTTATCCTTTTTGACACTTGAAACTGATTATCTACTACCTACACCCTCGCCTTACGACGGAGGGTCTCTTGGAAGTCGATAGTGCCAATATTGACTTTTAATTCTAACGTCCCGTTCGTCGCTGCTATTATAGGAGTTTATCTTTCCTTGGAGTTCTCTGGTTACCATTCAGTGGACTTTGACATTCACAGTGCAACCGGATGGTCACTTACAGTCTTACAACTTTGATGAACAATTTCTCAGAAAAGGGATGTTCACCTAGTGGCTAAAATCGGTATCCGATCTATTATACCCGCTTTACAGACAGCAAGAGCAAGATAAATGCGCAGTGGTCGATTTTGGTGGCAGATGGCGCTTTGCGCCGTCTTATTTGAAAAGACCGTGTCGCCTGGCTAGACGATAGTTGCGATGCTTTTATTCGTTGTCCTAGAGACGAGAGACCAAGCCAGACTATGCTGATGTGTAGCCAAAAAACATAAAACAATTGGTTGGCTGTTTTTTTTCTGATCAAACGCTTTCGCAGTAACAAGGCAGCCGATTTCCTTGCAACAGCTGGAATCGGTTGGATTGTTCAGGCAAGTTTGTTTGCAATTCTGGTGGAATAATTAGTAGCTTATAAGTTGCCAATGCGTGCAAGTATCCCTAGGCCGATCCAATGTGTATGTGGTTATGTCTAATAGATTGTTTCACCTTTTGATGTTGGATTGAAACGAGCTTTTGTATATTGAAACCATGTGTTCTGGAGGGTAGAAAACCAAAATTGTAGGCTAGGAATGTGACAGGGAACACAGCCTATTGTCCTTTTCTCGAGTATACATTACATTAGGAATTACCATAATTTTAAATATACCGGTAGGTTGCGGTGGTCAAGATACCTTCTTCTTAAGTACCGTCTTCTTCTTACTTCCTACCTCATCACGCAGTTGTAAATAAGAACAACAACACGACAACGCTCAATCTGACACTGGCCATTCCTTAAACGACCTTCAGTACATAGGTCCAACCATTCAAGATAGCTTATTTTTAATTCTTCTGAGATTCCGTCAGAGTCCTATTGCTTAGGTGCTGATTTGGACTAAATGTTCCGACATATTCAGGATAGATGAAACCCAACATCATCTGCAAACGATTCTGTGGAGAGCTGATCCTTCGCAAGAGCTCGAAACCCTTCAACTCTGTACGGTTACCTACGGAACCGCCTCAGCTTCGTGGCTATCGTTCGGTGCATTGAGCAGCTTGCCTTAGAACATGCCGACACTTTCCCATATTCAGCTCATATCTTATCAAAGGATTTTTACATGGACGATCTTCTTTCTAGCTGTCAATCCGAAGAAGAGGCAGTAGAGATATGTGATGAGCTCACCTCCATTCTCTCTACTGGCTGCGTTGAGCTTTGAAAATGGTCTTCAAACAGCAAGCAAGTCTTAGATAATGTCCAACCTAATAATTCCGAAACCATCATAAACATACGTTCAGATCAACGTGCAAAGATCGTAGGTGTTTTCTGGTCATGCTCTTTAGATCACCTCATGTACAGCATATCTTCCAATCCAAGAGCCATAACCAAACGCTCTATTTTTTCTGACATTGCTCAAATCTTCGATCCCTTAGGTCTTGTTGGGCCATGCATCATCATTAGCAAAATCCTAGTCCAACAATTATGGTCCTTGAAACTTTATTGGGATGAATCACTGCCTAGCAGTTTCGACAGTCGCTGGCGTCGATTTAGAGAACAACTTCCTGTTCTCAACATTCTCAAAATTCCGAGGCATGTCTTATGTCTAAATACATCTAAAATTGCATGTCTTTATATTTCCAGCATCTCTTCTTGCGGCGAGATTACCGTACATTTGCTCACAACCAAATCCAAGGTTAGTCTTCTAAAGTCCTTGACTATTCCGAAGCTAAAGTTATGCGGGATGTTCTTACTTACTCATCTTGTAACAACAATGAGTATTCCCTTTGAGGCTACCTTCCTTTGGTCTGACTCCACGGTATGTCTAGCCTGAATACAAACCGAGCCTAACAGACTTCAATTCTTCGATCAAAACAGGGTAGCACAAATCCAAACGCAAACACAGGCAGAAAGTTGGCATTACGTAAACTCTAGTGAAAACCCAGCGGACTTGCTTTCCCGTGGCGCATCACCTACTTACCTTCTAACCGATCTACTTTGGTGGAATGGATCAGCTTGGCTATCACAGGGATTCGACAAGTGGCCCATAGCGTAACATAAGCTCGAGGGTGAGTTGCCCGAATTAAAGAAACAGTTCGTATCATTTCCTGCTACATGTGTGCCCGACGTTCTTAATGTTTCATCTTATTCTATTCTTTTAAGACTTCAGTGCGTGACAGCATATGTACTTAGGCATATTCCAAACTCTAAACTACCTGAGAAAGACCGATCAGTTGGAGCACTTACGGCGCCAGAGCTTTCAACCGCCTGTACTTACTTGTCAATGACGTCCCAAAGGCAATCATTTCAAGATGACTACTTGGCGTTGAAACGGGGTAAATCGTTACCTAATTCTTCAAAATTGCTTTCATTGAATCCCTTCATGGATAATAAAGGTGGAATTCGTGTCGGGGGAAGAAATCAAAATCAAAATTCTTGCTTCATATTTAAACACCCCGCCATTCTTTCTGGTATACACTGCTTATCATAAGTTGTTGTGTGAGTACGAGCACAAACGGCTACTACATACCGGACCACATCAAACTATTTACTCATTACGGCAAAACTTCTGGATCACTGGTGGTAGAAATCTTGCCAGACAAATCATTCATACTCGCGTCAAATGCTTTCGTTGTAACCCTTCAGTTACTCCGCCTATAATGGGAATACTTCCCAGAGCGCGTGTCACTCCAGCTCCACCGGAGTGGATACGCTGGTCCTGTCATGATCAAAGATAAACCCGGTCGAGATGCGGAACTGACCAAGGCCTACATAGCTTTATTCGTTTGCTTTGCCACAAAGGCTATTCATTTGGAACTTGTCAGTAGCATGACCACAGAAGCTTTCATTGGTGTCTTTCATCGGTTTACCGCACGCCGTGAAAAACCACTGGAAATTTGGAGAGACAATGGCTCGAATTTCAGAGGGGCTGAAGCGGAACTGCGCGACCTCGCGTCCTTCCTTGCCCAAAACAAATTTTACATACAAGAAAGGATATGCAATACCGGTATAAACTGGAAATTCATACCGGCATTTTCCCCTTTACATGGGAGGCATCTGGGAAGCAGGGGTGAAATCCGCGAAGAAACATCTGCGCCGCATCCTTGGCTTGTCAAATCTAACATTTGAAGAATCTTACAGCGTGCTTACACAAATAGAAGCAGTTTTAAATTCAAGGATTGTTGTTCCTATGTCCTGTTCTCCTGATGACCTTTTGACCCTAACGCTATCCCATTTAATCCTTGGGCGTCCAGCTACTGCGTTGCCCGATCCAGACCTCAGCAAGATACCGATAGCAAGGCTATCCAGGTATCAGTTGCTACAGCAATTACAGCAACACTTTTGGAAATCCTGGTCTCATGAATACCTAACCGAGTTACAGCAACGTACCAAATGGAGAACACATCAAGACCATCTTTAACTTGGTTCACTATTAGTCCTGCGGGGCGATAACCTACCTCCTTTGCATTCTAAACTTGGAAGGGTTTCTACCTTTCATCCCGGAGCAGACGCCAAGGTTCGAGTTGCTACTGTGCAGACATCTTTTGGTGCAGTGAAGCGTGCAGTTACGAAATTTTTTGTGTTGCCGATAGAAACTGAACCAGTGCAGAGAGCCGATTGTGAAGTTGGTGATGTATAAACTGCTATGTGACTCTTAACCTTTATATTTATTTCACGATTTGACATTATTCAGATATTATTGTGAAATGTATTTCCTTTTCGTATGTTGAAAGTTGACCCTCTCAAGGTCGGGGGTATGTTTACGTCTCAAATCTTTGTTTTTAGGCGAGTTCAAAGAAACCTTTGTTTCCTCCCATTTCCTAGAGGTTATTTTGTCTAGTTTTTGGCTCAAAATGAAAATAAGATGAGTATCCCAGTACTCAACAGGTTGATCCAAGGCTTGTAGAGAACGTAAGTGTTTTGATAAGTTATCGAGCATCTTACGTAGGTCTGATGCGAACTCTTTCATCATGGTAGATAAGTTGAAGATTGACTTGACATGTTGAATTGTTTGAATGAGCAATTTATCGTTGTTACAGGGTTGTGTTAATGTTTCCCAAGCAGTGTAGTACGTTTCCGCCGAAAATTCGATTGATCGTATGACTTGTGCTGCACCACCCTCTAGAGATCAACGCAGATAACACTGGACAACAAATTTTAGTTTTTTAATTGTATCTTGTGGGAAAAGTGCACTTCTTTGTTAATTTTGGGACGCTGAATCCAAAAATGACAATGAAATAAAAAAATTAGTTGCGGTTTA